TTCGATTTTTCAATTTTTTTAATAACTGATTTTTTGATTTTTCCATTTCTCTATTTCTTGATTTTTCAATTCTTTCTTCAATTGTGATTTTTCAATTTTTCGATTTCTGAATTTTTCAATGTTTCAGTTTTTCACTTTTCCGATTCTTCAATTTTCTTTCCATTTTTCAGTTTTTCAAGATTTCAGTTTTGAATTTTTTCACTTTTTCGATTTTTCAATTTTCCTTCCATTTTTCAGTTTTTCAGTATTTCAGTTCTGGGATTTGGCAATGTTTCGGTTCTTCATTTTTCCATTTTTTGATGTTTCGATTTCTCAGTTTTTCAATTTTTCGATAGGTATTTTAATTTTTCAATTTTTAAGTTCTAGATTTTCCGTTAATTTTTTTGTTTTCCTTGATGTTTTGATTTGTTGATTATTCGATTTTTCAAGTTCTCGGTTTAGATTTTTTGGTTTTCCAATTCTTCGATTTTTAAATTGTTTAATTTTTAGATTGTTCAATTTGTCGATTTTTAGATTTTTCAATTTTTTGGTTTACCGATTTTTTTTCATTTAAAATGTTTCAATTTTTCAATTATTAACTTTTCGATCTTTCAATTTTGGTCTAATTTGATTTCTTAATTTTTTGATTTTTGACTCCTCTACTGTTGATGTTTTGATTTCTCGATGTTTCAGTTTTTGAACATTGCGATGTTTCGATTTTTCGACTTTTTGGCTTTTTGAGTGTTCAATTTTTTGATTTTTGGATTTTAGATTTTTTTTTTTGATTTATTTGGTGTTTCGATTTCCCAATTCTTCAATTTTTCGATATTTTCATTTTTCAATTTTTCGAATTTTTAAATTTTTGATTTTTCTTTTCTTTAATTTCTCAATTTTTGGATTTTTAAAATTTTACATTTTTCAATTTTACTATTTTTTGATGCTTGGATTTCTCAATTTTTCAAGTTTTCAATTCTCAATTTTCCAGGATTTGAATATTGAGAACTTTTCAATTTCTGGATTTTCAATTTTCAGATATTTTAATTTTTGATTTTTTAATGTTTGATTTTTGGGTGTTTTGATTTTTCGATTTTTAAAGTTTTAGGTTTTTAGATTTCTCACTATCTCGACTTTTCGATTTTTCAGTTCCATGATTTTTCAATTTGTCGAATTTTTAAATTTTAGTTTTTTTGTTTTCTTTGATGTTTTGAGTTCTCGATCATTCGATTTTCTGAGTTTTCAGGCTTAGATTTTTTTTGTTGTTCAATTCTTGGATTTTTAAAATTCTTGTTTTTTAAATTTTCCTATTTATCAACTTACTGGGATTTCAATGTTTTGGTTTGTTGATTGTTCAATTTCTCGATTTTTGAATTTTTAGTTTTTGATATAATTTTTTTTCAAAAATTTTCAGTTTTTCAATTTATTAACTTTACGATACTTCAGTTTTGCTCGATTTCGATTTCTCGATTCTTCATATTTTCGGTTTCTCGAATTTCTTCATTTTTCGATTTCTCAATTTTCCGATATTTCGGTTCTACGATTTTTAAATTTTTTTATTTTTCAGTTTTCAATTTTTGACGTTTCTAAATTTTTCGATTTTTCAATTTTTTGATTAACTGATTTTTTTATTTTCCCATTTCTCTATTTCTTGATTTTTCAATTCTTTCTTCAATTGTGATTTTTCAATTTTTCGATTTCTGAATTTTTCAATGTTTCAGTTTTTCACTTTTCCGATTCTTCAATTTTCTTTCCATTTTTCAGTTTTTCAAGATTTCAGTTTTGATTTTTTTCACTTTTTCGATTTTTCAATTTTCCTTCCATTTTTCAGTTTTTCAGTATTTCAGTTCTGGGATTTGGCAATGTTTCGGTTCTTCAATTTTTCCATTTTTTGATGTTTCGATTTCTCAGTTTTTCAATTTTTCGATAGGTATTTTAATTTTTCAATTTTTAAGTTCTAGATTTTCCGTTAATTTTTTTGTTTTCCTTGATGTTTTGATTTGTCGATTATTCGATTTTTCAAGTTCTCGGTTTAGATTTTTTGATTTTCCAATTCTTCGATTTTTAAATTGTTTAATTTTTAGATTGTTCAATTTTTCGATTTTTAGATTTTTCAATTTTTCGGTTTACCGATTTTTACTCATTTAAAATGTTTCAATTTTTCAATTATTAACTTTTCGATTTTTCAATTTTGGTCTAATTTGATTTCTTAATTTTTTTATTTTTTAACTCCTCTACTGTTGATGTTTGGATTTCTCGATGTTTCAGTTTTTGAACATTGCGATGTTTCGATTTTTCGACTTTTTGGCTTTTTGAGTGTTCAATTTTTTGATTTTTGAATTTTAGATTTTTTTTTTATTTATTTGGTGTTTCGATTTCCCAATTCTTCAATTTTTCGATATTTTAATTTTTCAATTTTTCGAATTTTTAAATTTTTGATTTTTCTTTTCTTTAATTTCTCAATTTTTGGATTTTTTAAATTTTACATTTTTCAATTTTTCAAGTTTTCAATACTCAATTTTTCAGGATTTGAATATTGAGAACTTTTCAATTTCTGGATTTTCAATTTTCAGATATTTTAATTTTTGATTTTTTAATGTTTCGATTTTTGGGTGTTTTGATTTTTCGATTTTTAAAGTTTTAGGTTTTTAGATTTCTCACTATCTCGACTTTTCGATTTTTCAGTTCCATGATTTTTCAATTTGTCGAATTTTTAAAATGTTAGATTTTTTTTCTTGGATGTTTTGAGTTCTCGATCATTCGATTTTCTGATTTTTCAGGCTTGAATTTTTTTTGTTGTTCAATTCTTGGATTTTTAAAATTTTTGTTTTTTAAATTTTTCTATTTATCAACTTACTGGGATTTCAATGTTTTGATTTGTTGATTGTTCAATTTCTCGATTTTTTGAATTGTTAGTTTTTGATATAATTTTTTTTTTTAATTTTCAGTTTTTCAATTTATTAAATTTACGATACTTCAGTTTTGCTCGATTTCGATTTCTCAATTTTTCGACATATTACTATTGGGATTTTTCAATTTATCGATTTCTCAATTTTCCGATATTTCAGTTTTACGATTTTTAAATTTTTTTATTTCTCAGTTTTCAATTTTTGACGTTTCTAAATTTTTCGATTTTTCAATTTTTTGATTTTCCCATTTCTCTATTTCTTGATTTTTCAATTCTTTCTTCAATTGTGATTTTTCAATTTTTCGATTTCTGGATTTTTCAATGTTTCAGTTTTTCACTTTTCCGATTCTTCAATTTTCTTTCCATTTTTCAGTTTTTCAAGATTTCAGTTTTGAATTTTTTCACTTTTTCGATTTTTCAATTTTCCTTCCATTTTTCAGTTTTTCAGTATTTCAGTTCTGGGATTTGGCAATGTTTCGGTTCTTCAATTTTTCCATTTTTTGATGTTTCGATTTCTCAGTTTTTCAATTTTTCGATAGGTATTTTAATTTTTCAATTTTTAAGTTCTAGATTTTCCGTTAATTTTTTTGTTTTCCTTGATGTTTTGATTTGCCGATTATACGATTTTTCAAGTTCTCGGTTTAGATTTTTTGGTTTTCCAATTCTTCGATTTTTAAATTGTTTAATTTTTAAATTGTTCAATTTTTCGATTTTTAGATTTTTCAATAATTAACTTTTCGATTTTTCAATTTTGGTCTAATTTGATTTCTTAATTTTTTTATTTTTTAACTCCTCTACTGTTGATGTCTTGATTTCCGATGTTTCAGTTTTTGAACATTGCGATGTTTCGATTTTTCGACTTTTTGAGTGTTCAATTTTTTGATTTTTTGAATTTTAGATTTTTTTTTGATTTATTTGGTGTTTCGATTTCCCAATTCTTCAATTTTTCGATATTTTAATTTTTCAATTTTTCAAATTTTTAAATTTTTGAATTTTCTTTTCTTTAATTTCTGAATTTTTGGATTTTTAAAATTTTACATTTTTCAAGTTTTCAATACTCAATTTTCCAGGATTTGAATATTGAGAACTTTTCAATTTCTTTATTTTCAATTTTCAGATATTTTAATTTTTGATTTTTTAATGTTTCGATTTTTGGGTGTTTTGATTTTTCGATTTTTAAAGTTTTAGGTTTTTAGATTTCTCACTATCTCGACTTTTCGATTTTTCAGTTCCATGATTTTTCAATTTGTCGAATTTTTAAATTTTAGATTTTTTTTGTTGTTGAATTCTTGGATTTTTAAAATTCTTGTTTTTTAAATTTTCCTATTTATCAACTTACTGGGATTTCAATGTTTTGGTTTGTTGATTGTTCAATTTCTCGATTTTTTGAATTTTTAGTTTTTGATATAATTTTTTTTTAAATTTTCAGTTTTTCAATTTATTAACTTTACGATACTTCAGTTTTGCTCGATTTCGATTTCTCAATTTTTCGACATATTACTATTGGGATTTTTCAATTTATCGATTCTTCGATTTCTCGATTCTTCATATTTTCGGTTTCTCGAATTTCTTCATTTTTCGATTTCTCAATTTTCCGATATTTCAGTTCTACGATTTTTAAATTTTTTTATTTTTCAGTTTTCAATTTTTGACGTTTCTAATTTTTTTGATTTTTCAATTTTTTGATTTACCGATTTTTTTCATTTAAAATGTTTCAATTTTTCAATTATTAAGTTTTCGATTTTTCAACTTTGGTGTAATTTGAAGACGGTATTAATAATACATTTAGGCGAATAAACTAATAGACGGGTTTGATAAGCCTTGTTTGCTCTACAGTGTCTAAATTGTGTTTGAATAACATAATAATAATCTCGAATATTAAAATGAATATGTCAAAAGAATCCGAGAAATGATTATTCTGTGCTGAAACTTGTCTCTCGTCTAGCGTTCCTCCTAGCGGCAATTTCGCCGGTACTAAACCGAAGTTTCTAATTCCACTCCAACCCCTCAAGCGACCTTCAAGCAAGCGCCCCCCTCCGGAGCCGGGTCATGCAGAGTCAGTCACCAAACCATGCATTAGTAGGTGAGTTGAAAAACGGGTCAATCAAAAATTACCTACCCGGTACCAAGTGGCCACCTGGGAGCAGCGCCACCGGAAAAACAAACGTTAAAAAAACAGAACTTCAACTGTTTGAGGAAAAGTGTGAAAAACCTACACAGAGTTACAGTTTACTGGACAAGCAGTGCACTGTCAAATTTGTCGGTGTCTGTGGTGTTGCGGGTGTGCGTAACGTGCTTTACCTTGGGTAGCGCGGCCAAACATTGCTGCTTGACGTCCCAGACGAGTTGGTCCCGGGGAAACTGGAGGCACTTCTGCACGTTGAGCTCCGGCACGTGGATCCTGACCAGAAGGTAGCCCTCGTCGGGGCCTCGTTCGCCCTCCTCCTCCATGGCGGGCTTAGATGCTCACATCTGAAACGGGACAACGTGCAGTTTTGTGTTCGCGCTCTTTCAAAAATTACAATTTTCACACTGTCAGTTTTGCAATATAGTTATACCACACCGAAGGTTATCAACGTGGGACGAACGACTAGAAAGCGGGAACTAAGTAACAAAACGCCTCATGCGAATCATTGATAAAAATTTTCGCACAATAAAACCCGACACACAACAAAACAGCTCGTACTAGTTTTCACGTTAAATATGCACAACTAATCGAATAAATGAAACCTTATTAGCATAGCAGCCGCACGTGAGCTGTTCCTACTATTTTAATCCGCGCAAATTTGTACTATAAATTGGCATTAAGTTGCGTAATAAATTCCTTTAATTAGAATCGAAAAGTGAATTGCGTAAATTACGGAATTTGAATCCGGAGACAATGGCACGATAGCCGAGGAAACAATAAACTGGAAGATAAGATTAGCGAAGACGACACAAAAATGTGCCCACTATGTAATACGATACCAAATCGCCAACATCTGAAACAGTAGATGCGCTGCATGTGGATAACGAACGCTAATTAAAGCAAAAAGCGGCAGAGATTGTGCAAAAGTAAGCTCATATCCGTTTCATCGCGTTACCGGACGCTGGAAAGTACCAAAGACACAATTAGAGTTGGCGCAAAAAAGCGCCTACACTGCAAAAGTAGATCGGGCTGATTTATTGCCACGAAAAGTTTCATGCCGATTTTATGCAAATAATTGGACAAATAAGTGAATTGGGTTCAGGCGGAACGAATGTGGCGGGGTTGGCGGGTTTGACACTAATCCCGGGAAACTTATTCGGAGAGTTCGTTACTGTCACTTTGAGGAGCTGTCGTAACACTTTACTTTTGAAAAAAAAGTGATCGATTGTTATTTTCAATACTATAGTCTTAATAAAAAAAAAACGGACTATCTAAGATACGAATTTAAAAAAAAACTATTAAAAGCACGTACCAAAGTTTACTCATACGATCAGGAGAGTTATCAAAGTTTCGGGGAAGTTCCCTATGTATTACGTATCTAAGATAAATTGTAAACTTTTATTACATACTTTCGGTATCTTTTACAATAACCCGTATGCTTACATTTGTTAAACTATAGAAAGTTATTATCTAGTTTGGACTTTTTGTGCGAAAATTTATTGTGTGTGTTATTTTTTTCAAATTTAAATTGTGTTTACCACAACAATCGATCCGGTAGTTTCAGAGATTATCTGTTTACCAACAAACGATAGACAGACCGAGGGAACAGAAAACATGAAAGTAGCCATTCGCCGCATGAAACTTATTCGGTCGGGAAGTAACAAATTTAAAAAGTCTATTAAGTTTTTTTAATCTTGCTGAATTGCATTATTGTTGCAGAAATCAAAAACTCACAGATGTTAAAATAAGATAGAACCATTACTCAGTAAAATTTTGAGATAGATTACGTCATGAAATTTATCCTGGGGATAAAATAAACTCCATGATAATCTCACAGTACATTTTAACTATATGTTATATTTATATAACGTATTCTAAGTACAATTTTAATTATTGATAACAATGCAAGGTAGTAATCACGTTTTTATTCCTTTCTGTGTCTATATCTTTTTATTTCCATCTATATCCCTTTTTTTCGATATTTCCATTTTCAGTATTTGATTTCTATGTCCTATATGCGTTCTTCTACATCGGTCTCCATCCTTTGACATACTTCTATATCCTTCTATTTTCGTCTATACCTGTCTATATTATCCGATTTTTTTTATTTTTCCATGTTTTAATTTTCGATTTCTCGATGTCCTATTTCCGTCTATATCTGGTTTACTTTTCAATTTTTCGAATTTTTTGATTTCTGGGTCTACATCCTTCTATCTTCTATATTTTTCCATATCCTCTATAGCTTTCTATATACGTATATCTTTCTATATTCTATATCAGTCTATATCCTTCTATCTCCAATTATTTTCTTCTATATTTGTCTATTCTCTTGATGTGTGTTATACACTGTGTTGTAGTATGATTCACAAATAAATTATTTTCGACTTCTCGATTTCTCGTTTTTTGATTTTTCAGTTTTTCAATTTTTCCATTTTACGATTTTAATTTTTTTTTTAAATTTGCATTTTTCGATTTTTCAACATTTCGGCACTTCTATTTTGTGAATTTTTTTGTTTCTCCATCTTTTGATGGCTCGATTTTTCCACTTTTCGGGCTTTCGATATTCGATTTTTTTTAATTTCGACCTGTTTCGTTGAATTTTCGACTTTTCAATATTCGAATTTTCAATTTTCGATTTTCGACTTAAAATTTTTCAATTCTTCGATTTTTCAAATTTTCAAATTTTCGGATTCTTGATTTTTCAATTTTTCTATTCTTCAGATCTTAAACTTTTCAATTTCTTTGCTTTTCGACTCTTCGATGTTCGAATTTTCAATTTTTTTACCTTTCGATTTTCAGTTTTTTCGTTCTTCAGTTTTTAAGTCGAAAAATTGAAAAATCGAAATCATAAAACGGAAAAATTGAAATATTTAAAAACCAAAAAATTGAAAAATCAAAATACGAGAAATCGAAGAAACCAACTTAACAAAAAATTGAAAAATACCAAAATTGAAACAGAATAACTGAGATATTAAAAAATTGCAAAATCGAGATATAGAAGAAGAGTCGGGGAAGAATCGAAAATATGAAAATGGAGAAATCGCGAAAAATTGAGCAATGGAGAAAGGCAACATCAAAATATGGAAAAATCGAAGTCGAGAAGTCGGAAAAGTCAGAAATGGAAAAATCGAAAAATCACAAAATCGAAAAATTGGAGATTAAAAAATTTAAAAATCCCAAAACTCGAGACACCGAAACACGGAAAAATTGACTAATCCAGAAATGAGAAACTCAAAATATCGAAAAATCAAAATATCTAATAATGGAGAAGTCGAGAAGTCGAAAAATCGAGCAATCGAAAAGTCGAAAATACACTGTGTTGTAGTATGATTTACGACGAAATTATTTATTTACTTATATCCTCACATATCTTTATATATCCTTTTATATCCCTCCATATCGATCTGCACCTTTCGATATCCTTCCATTTCTGGCTACATCTATTTTTTTCCATTTTTCGAATTTTCAGTTTTTTGTTTTTTCAAATTTTCGCTTTTTCGGTTTGTCGATCTTATATTTCGGTCTATATCCGTTTTTTTTCCGTCTTTATAATTTTCGAATTTTTAACTTTTTGATTCTTCGAATTTTGGATTTTTCATTTTTTGTCTATTCTTCTGTATCCGTTTAGATCCTTCTATATCCATTTATATCTTGCTATATCCGTCTACAGCCTTCTATATCTTTCCATTTCCGTCTGTTTTTTTTTATTTTTTGATTTTTCTAATATTCGAATTCTGTCTATATCCTTCTTTATCCTTCTGTATCTTTTTATATCTGTCTAAATCTTTCTACATCCGGCCTATATCCTTATATCGTTCTATATTCGTCTATATATCCATCTATATCCTTCTACATCCGTCTACATCCTTTGATATACTCCTACATTTTTCCATTTCCGTCTATACATCTATATATCCATTCTTTGGATGTTTCGAATTTGTGATTTTTCGATTTCTGGATTTATATCCTTCTATATCCGTCTATATTCCTCTATATCTTTCAATATTGATCTATGTCCTTCTATTTCCCTTCGTCTATATCCGGTTTTTTCATTCGAATGTTCGATTCCGATTTCTATGTCCACATCCTTGTATTTCTATCTGTGTCCATTTTTTTTCCATTTTTGATTTTCTGAATTTTCGATTTCTGCGTCTAGATCCTTCTATATCCATTTATAACCCTCTATATGCGTCTATATCTGTCTATATTGGCCTATATCCTTATATATCCCTCTACATTCGTCTATATTCATTTATATCATTCTATATTCGTTCATATCCTTCTATGTTTCTTTATGTATCTCTATATCGGTCTATACCTGTCTATATCAGTTTTTTCGGTGTTTCGAATTTTCTATTTCTGGGTCTATTATCTTTCTATATCCCTCTGTATCTTTCTACATTGGTTTATATCCTTCTACGTAACTCTATTCTTCAATTCCTTATTCGTCAATAGTCGCCTATGTCCCTCTATTTCTGTGTCTACATCCTTCTATTTCCATCTATGTCCGGTTTTTCTGACTTTTCGAATTTCGATTTCCAGAGTTTTCGATTTCTGCGTCTACATCCTTCTATATCCATCTATATCTCTCTATATGTGTCTATATCTTCACATATCTTTCTATATTCGTTTATATCCGTGTTATGTCCTTCAATAACCGTCCATGTCCTTTTACATCATTTATATCTTTCTATATCGGTCTACATCCTTTGATATACTTCTACAGCTTTCTATTTCCGTCTATATTTGTCTATATCCGCTGTTTCGATGATGTTTCAAATTTTCGATTTTTCTATTAATAGGTCTATATCCTTCTATATCCGTGTATATGCCTCTATATCTTTCTTTATCGTCTATATAATAGAAGGCTATTTTCGTTCGTCTATATCTGTTTTTCATTCGAATTTCCGATTTTTTTGGTATTTTGAGTTTCTCGATTTCTGTATCTACATCCTTCTATTTCACTCTATGTCCGTTTTTTTTCAATTTTTCCATTTTCGATTTCTGCATCTACATCTTTCTATATACGTCTATATCGTTCCATGTTGGCCTATGTCCTTATATATCCCTCTATATTCGTCTATATCCATCTATATCCTTCTATATTGGTCTACGTCGTTCTAGATCTTTCTATTTCCATCTATACCTGTCTAAATCCGTTTTTTCAATGTTTCAAATTTTAGATTTTTCGATTTCTGGCTCTATATCCGTCTATATCCCTATATTTTTCTATATCGGTCTATGTATATCCTTCTATTTCCGTTCATGTATATCCGTTTTTTCATTCGAATTTTCAATTTTTTTGATATTTCGATTTCTCGATTTCTGTGTTTACATCGTTCTA